TTTAAGCATAAAATTAACGGTTTTTCAACCGTTATCATCGTTTTCGCACCGATGCCGAAGGTCCTCTGCCAGCAAATCCACCCGAAATAGTGTTGATGATGCCCTGTAAGGGTCGTTTTCTGCTCCTGCTTCGACTTCTCCGATCATCCCTCTGAGGGTGATTACTCCTTTTGGGTGGACGTCTGGCACCTCCTAGAGGGCTTCGTCCCTTATCTTGTACATACCTTCGCAAATGTCCTTCCTGTATCAAATTTTCTAACTTATCCTTCAAAGTTGTGCAATCCTCCGTGGTGTATCCAAAGTTTTGATGATATTGACAATGCTTCCGTCCATCAGCTCCCTTGGGAGTGGGCGATTGAGTTAAGGTTAGCAAATCGGCTATTAATGCTTCTTCCATCACCCTTGCCCGAGGTGCATTCAAAGGCATATAATGAACATATTGAGGCACCCTAGGGAGGTCTCTATGTCTTTGGTCGCTTGCTCCGTCATTTCTCCCGAGCATCCTTCCTCCATCCTTTCTCCCTCGGTTTGACCTAGCTAGCGGAAGTGGTGCTTGTTGGAAAGCACGCCCCTCTTCAATTCGAATAAACCTTGTTGCCCTATTTTGGAACTCAGCCAACGTCTGGGGTTCCTCCGTGTAGAGGAAATCAACAAAAGGTCCCGGTCTTAACGCAATTGTCAGGGCTCCTATTATCAACTTTTGATCTACGTTTCTTACGTGACGCGCAATTTGATTAAAGCGGTCCATAAACACCTTAAGTGTTTCTTCTCTCCCCTGCCTCATTTGGACTAGATCGAGATACGTCAACCCCTGCGTTCTATTAGATGCATATTTTTGACTGAACAAATACCTTAACGTTGCAAATCCGTCCACAGTCTCAGGCTGCAATGAATGAAATCAATCCAAAGCCTCGTCTTTCAACGACAACGAGAAGACTCTACACCAGACCAAGTCATCCGAAGAGTAAATCGCCATGGCATCCACAAAAGACCTAAGATGCTTCTCAGGGTCAGTTAATCCTCCATACTTCTCAATTACTAGGAGCACTTTATTTTCGGGCATGGGTGCGCTCATCACTGCTGCGGTAAAAGTATGAAGCCACTCGGCTTGATCAGGGCGTTCGATAAGCGCTGGGTAGTTCTCCCTAACCGGATTATTAACAGGAATCGAACTTTCCACATTGTGACCCGCCCAATTATCTATGTTTTGCCCAACGTGATTCTCTGCATTTTGTCCAGCTTGATTCTCTGCGTTTCGTCCAGCTTGATTCTCTGCGTTTCATCCTCCACCCTGAGTATTACGTCTTGAGACATTGGTTACCTCCCTCGTTCCATTTTCATGTCTTGGGTGATTACTCTCCCCCCGTTCTCCAGATTGGTAGCCTCATTGTTCACCTACTGCACTGATTGTCCTCCCATCCCATTGCCTCTATCAGCTCTTATCGCTGCCATCTCCTCCCTCAATTCATGCATCTGCCTCTGCATTTCCTGTAGCACTTGCAACTGAAGCTCCTCTGCCATTATGGTTTCACTTGGGTTTCCTCAGCACTCTCGGCCCCATGGTGGGTGCAAAATGTTTCGGTATTTGGGTCCAAGACTGCTTTCCCTCCTTCTTCTCTGCTTTGTTGATGCGACTTCCAACAACATCGACTCCTCTCCATAATACCGATCGATCGTCTCCTGCAAGTCAGATTTAGCTCTAAGGAGATCAAGGTCATAATAATTTTGAAAAAGGTGTCTTTACCTGGACTTAGATCTCATATTTATAGACTTGATTTTTAATAATTACCCTTAATTGCTAATCAATACCATATCAATGTCGTATATTTTATTTCCTATTACTCGTTATTTGACCATTAAAGCCATATGTTCCATTCCTTATAACATTGATTGGCCTTTAATGCTTATCAGCCATCAACCATTTGCCTCCTTGCCCTCTCTATCTTAACCGATCGACCCAACTTCTCGTCAGGCTAAGTGATAACAGTTGAAAAACTGTTATTTTCATGCTTAAAATTGTTACTAAAAGCAACCTTTATACTTAGAAACTAGCTTGAAATCATGCTTTTCTTCATATTTTCAGAAATAAGAGAGCTGGACAGGTTTATGCTTGATTTCAGTGTTTTTGTGCAGGTTTTAAGGTGAATTTGGTGAAAGAAGTGAAGAAGGAGAGA